GGGATGGTAAATATGAATTTTCAGCAGCTGTTTCACATAATCCTTCAGAAATTATTCTAATAGGTTTGGTGCTCAAGAAATGTTTATTAATATCAATGCTGAAAATAGTTGTGCCGCTTAATATTTTTGTGAAAGCCAGGCTACATTTTTTACATCTTTTGTAAGAATGCAAAAGTTTAGTATAAATACATATTTTAAAACAAAAAAAAATTATACATGCAAGGATCATTCACAATAACACAAAAAGTAACATGCATTAATAAAATAAACAGTGTTAATACATTTTTGAATAAAAAAAAACACGCCACTGAGCATCATTCTGTCCAAAATCAGAGATGAAAACCTTTAACAAGAGCACACCCTGAACCTGTCAGACTTTACGTACATCACACACACACACACGCTCTGACTGGATCCCATGTGGGCTCAGACCATGCTTTACTTTCCTTTTAATCACTGCCCAGAAATATGCATGTCTTTCCTTTCCTCTATCTGGAAATTCAGCCCTTAAACGCTCACCATTTAAACATACACCATTTTATTATGTACTTTAAAAAAAATGATGAGCAAATGTTTTTGTATGATTGGATTGCTATAAGAGAGAGCGGGAGGAAGGGAGAGACAGTGTGTGTGTGCTGGATATGTTTGTTTCCCTGTTGTGGGCAATTTCTTGGCAAGGTTACCCGATACACCTCCCTGGCAAGCGCGAAAACCAAAACCCACAGTAGGTACTCAACATTTGAAAGAAGCTCTTTGATTAGAACAAAGCAAAGAAGCGAAATGGCAAAAGGGAATAAGCACTTATTTTGATCTCATCGCCTTTCATTACCCACTCACGTTTGCTTTAGGCCAGTTACCCAGGATGCTCAGCAGGACACAGAGGAAAGACTCCCTGAAAGCTGGGCTCTTTTCTCCCTACTTGTTTTATCAACTCTAATGTCCCTCACCGCTCAGCCGCCAATTCCTGCCCCAGATTTTACATTGATCAAGTGTCAGGAAATGCCCCCACCCACCAGAGCGAGCGTTGGCGCTGTTTGAAAAAAGGGCCTTCTCTCTCTCTCTCTCTCTCTCTCTCTCTCTCTGTAATTACATCCTCCCTGTTTAATACAGACTAGCTGTTAAACAAACAATTGATCCCCACTTAACACATGTACCCACGTTGGCTAACACATTTTGCCAATTCGCCACAGGCAAGAAAGGCAGAGAAGAGTGAGGTGGAGAGAGAGATATGGCATCTCAGGAAAGAAAGGAAAAAGAGCTGCCAAAATAGGTAGAAGAGAGGAGGATGTGTATTGTCATGTGGCTCAGACAAGTAGAAGGTGCCTTCTCAGGCAGAGCTAATCAGCCGTTTTTATGAGCTTTAAATTGAAACAATAACAGCTGTTAATGGGGACATTGTGTGTGAGTTTAGCATCAGTTAATCTGTGTTGGGGTGTTGTCATTGTTGTCATTGTTGCCAGTGTGTGTGTGTGTGTGTGTGTGTGTGTGTGAGGGTAATGGAGCTAACAGATTGTCTTGTTTGCCTTTTTGAACTTCCCAGTGCACTCCGGGTGCAGGAGGAAAAACAAAGGGTGCTAATGGCTACATGACACAAAGACCTTCACTAACCTGAGATTTTACTGAAGGCATAACGATCGATCACTGAGGCCCCACACACACCCTAAACACTCAGTGTAAACACACTTTTGATGGGATGCTTTTTCATGTTTTAGGTGGTGTTACAATAATACATCAAGAGGCAATAATAATTAGATTTACATTATGATTAGAATTAGATTTGCAATGTTTAATTTGCATTTCTAAATAGTCATTTCATCCTCTAAAAAAAAATATTGTATTATTATTTACACGTATGCTGTTCCAAATGATATTATTTGTCAATGAAACATAAACAAAGAATATTTGAGGAATCTTCACACAGCTCTTTTCACTGTAACAGTAACATCTGTCAAGCTTCAAAAATGGCAAAAAGAACAACAAAAAAAAAGAAATCTTAAAAGAGGTCCATATGACTCCTGTGCTACATTCCAAGTCGTCTGAAGACGTACTAAGACAATAGCTTTGTGTGAAGAACAGATTGAAATTTAATAATTTATTATTCATCTTCCCCTCCTCCAAAACTCTAAAATCTTATTACAGTCAAACAGTGTGCGTTCACACCATCATCGGCAACATGGGCAATCCAGCATGAATATGCAGAATGAAGAATAAGATTTTAAAGCTGCAATAAAGGGGAAGCTTATCATGAATAGCAAGTTTGCCCTGATTCTCACTCAAATACATTGTTTTACTTGACAACCTATGACCTCCTATCGCACGGAAAAGAGCTGCATGATGATTCAACAGAAAAAGAGTTAGTATGACATGAGCGTTAGTAAATGCAACTGAAATTCATTTAGTAATTAAAAGAAATGAAAGTTGCGACAGATCTTTTCTTCCATATTGTGACGCACATTCCAGTGAAACAAATTATCAAATAAATAAATAAAAAACAGAGGGCAGGGACTTGGTTCTTTGTGAAAGTGAACAAATGAATGTTCTCAATAAAATAAATAACACATTTTGAAAATAAGGTGAATTTTCATTTCATGCAAACTTTAATATTACTGGTTTGCTTGCACCTGAATTAGACCACACACTCTCTCCAAAACCCTGTCCTCCAAAGACATGTCAGCTAGCCCAATATTAGCAAACATGCTAAATGAGTCACATGCAGAGAATGTTTCTGATGAGTTGATTTCTGATTGGGTTCTCTGCTGACTTTTTCTCTGTTTATAGACCCTTGGGCTGTCACAGAGACAGGTCTGTCAGGTAGTAGGAACATATTTTGTGAGGTATTCCAACGAAAGAAAATAAAACAACGTACAACAGCTTCAACTCTGTGTTTTATTCAGGTATTTAATCTGCACTGTTTGTTAGTAGAGGCCTGCATCTCTTTCTCTATTTCTATTTATCTATGTCATACTCTCTATTCCTATTTCTCTTTCTCTCTCCCTCTCTGCAGTAAGACAGCTTAAGCTCGCTCTAATTAGGGGACATCTGTTTCTATTCCTGCTGACTGCTTTAACATATCCTCATATTCATAACAGCTCATACCTAATGAGTTACACAGCCCAGGGCAAATCTCATACCTGCACAAAGATCAAACACCTAGCCTAAAAGCACACATGCACACAAACACCCAAATTAGCACAGACTCACACTCTCTCACACACACAGGTACACTTCCCTGCCAAGTACAACTACCAGAGCTTGAAAAGACAAACAGCAGATGACACTTGTGAATCTTGTAGAACTGGAGTGAGGTTAGTTTGAAATATGTGACAGCAATTTGCAGCTTATTAAAATAAATCAAACAACTTCTAAGGAAAAAAGAACGTTGGCCCAACTATTTAAAAAAAAAAAAAACCTACCTGCCCTGCCTGGGTAAGGAGTGTTTTTGCTTTATTTGTGTGAGGGCTCAACACGGTTTTAACCTGTCATTGTCGCTTGTCTGTGTATATGATATAATATTATTATTTTCTTTTGTAAATCAAAAGCAATAATTTGGGAGACATAAAGCCACATTGCAAGATATAAAGTCACAATTATAGGAAGTAACTTTATTTATTAAAAAGTGCAGTGTTACATTGCATTTTATATCACCGAATATGAAAGAAGTCGTAATTGTGAAATATTGTAATATATAGAGACACGCTGTGATTGTATTTATATAATTGTAACATAAAGTCACAATTACGAGAAATAAACACAATTGTGAGATATGAAGTCATTATTACAAGAAATAAAGACATAATTGTGAGATATGAATTCGCAATTATGAAAATTAGTCAGAATTGTGAGATACATAGGTGCAGTAACAAGAAATAAAGTCAGAATTATGTGAAATTAAATTATCTTTAAATTGGGTTTAAACTCTCAGGCGGAACATTTTTACATAAAGCATTTAGTGCATGTATGACAGTAAAAGCTTTAGGCTGTGAGAGTGAGTAAGTGAGTGATTGTGAGTAGAAGTAAGAGAGTTTCGGAGTGTGTGTGTGTGTGTGTGTGTGTGTGTACTCTATGGTTACAGGTTGTGGTTAACTGCAGCATTAGCTTTAATACAAGTTTGCGGTTTTCACAGAGCTGGTCTAAATGTGCTCAGATCAGCTTTCCTAAAGCAGTCCACTAAACTGCCCTGTTATGTATCATAAAAATCCGCTGACAGGTACACACACACACACTCCTGGTCTGACACAGGTCACTCTCCCTCTTCTCTAATGCGTCCTGCAACCCCCTAAAGACACAATATCTCCTCATCGCCGAGCCACTCTATTAAGGACAAAAGGTCATCCCGGGATAATATTAAACTTATGAAGCTCTGGCTGTCCTGCCTGCTTCCAAATGTGCAGCGAAAGCATAAAAAACGTGTTGTGTCCGTGTATGTGATTATATCTGTCCCATCATCCTCTGCACACTGACCTCAGGGTTCTGGGTTATTGGTCTCAGATGCAGGCGGCTTCTCAATGTACAAAAGAGCCTGTTATTCCACTGCTTATTACAGCAAAGCCATACACAACACGCAACAGCACACACGCACACTTATGCTTACACACCGCACCACAACAGAACACAGAGGGCAGTCTTGTGCGTGTGCGTGCATGTAAGGTATTGGCGCATTCAGGGAGATTTTAGAAAGGAGGAAGTAGAGGCCACTGCATCCTGCCTCACACACAACCTCAAATAGATTCATACAGTCATACTTTGTTCTTGCCTGTGCCCGCATTACATGTTTCATGATGGAAAATGTGCATTCTTTTAAATGGCTTCCAAGAGAAACTGATACACACAAACACACAGGCTGTCACGCACGCGTACTGTATATAATTTACTGCTTTCAATTCAGCGGTAGCTATAATTACAAATACAATGTCATGGAGTTAATCAACTAAAAGTAGCGATATTTCTAAATAATAGTGACAGTGTAGCTTTTAACAGGTTCAAACTATTCTCGGTGTAGCGCGATCAGACTACATCGCCATTTTTAACCTTGTGCTGAGGGAATAATCAAACGCTTAACTAAACAAGCCTTTCTCTTGTATGTAGCACTGGAAATTCATCCTTGAGGATTTGTTCGTCCTGAACGGCCTTCTCTCTTTCTTCCATATACCGCAGTTTGATTCATTCTAATTAATCGGTTCATCATAAATCTTCCTCTCGCTCATATGTAACGTTTGAAAGTCCGATTCATTCCAGTGAACCGGTTCAGTTGGACAATTCATTTAAATTAATTCAGAATCACAAGAAAATTATTCACCAATTTGACTTCTTAAACTACTGGCTATGTTTTCTACCTGGACAATGGTTACATAAATTAGGGTGTTTTGTTGTATTTAGTCATTTGATTTTGTTCACACAAATGT